TTCTCTCACATTACTAATCCAAAGCACATTTCATTTTATTCAAAATGTAAAGTTATACTGACTTTTTAAAAAAACTGCAAGAACAGTTATCCCACATGGCATCATTATAAAATAACGGCTTTCAAATGCTCATACCCACATAGGCTGAGGACTTCAGTCTGGGAGCACCTGCACAGCCTTTACCAGACCATCCCTCAGCTAAACATCCAAACTCTGAAACACGCTGAGTTCACAGAATTCTAGGTTCTGGAGCGCTCAGACTTTCAGACTAAGGATGTTTAACCCGTAGTAACCTTTGGGGTGAGGCCTTGTGATTAACACACGCGTGTCCTCTGTCACATCCCACATTATGCACCAAGATCCCACACCCAGTGCCAATCCCAGCCCAGCTTTGTGCTAATGCAGAGGCTGGAAGACAGGCTGATGGCTCTAAGGAACCAGGCTCCTCCTCCCAGTCAGGGACCTACCCTGGGTCCCTGGCTTTCAGCCTCAGTCTTGGCCCCACCGTGACTATCACAGCATCTTGGTATTGAAACTGTAGGGAAATAGCATGTTCTTCCTCTCTACACCCATCTGCTTCAGAAAAAAAAAACAAAAAAAGTTAAATTACAAGATGAAGATGCATTTTCTAGCCAGCATCGTGGTGAGCAGGCTAAGTTCCAGCGTGTAGCATCAGTATCCCACATAAGGTTCAGCTCCTGGCTGTTCCACTTCCCATCCAGCTCCTGCTGATGCACCTGGGAAAGCAGCAGAGGATGGCCCAAGGGCTTGGGCTCCTGCACCCATGCAGAGACCCAGAAAAAAGCAGTGCTTTCTGGCTTTGGCTGCTGCAGACAACTGGGAAATGAACCAGCAGATTAAGCATATCTCTCTCTCTCTCTCTCTCTCTCTTCCTCCAACTCTGTCTTTCAAATAAGTAAGTCTTAGGAAAAAAAAACAAAAAAACCTCCCAAATTCCTCCAAAGAATTGTCTGACAAAAGTTCACTGCAGAGCTATAAATGTAGAATCTTTAGAAACAACACTTATTGCCCTTCTAAAAGTAATTTTAATTATTAGCAAAAAGTTCTTCACATGCTAAGTAAAACACTATTGTAAATTTACAAGAATCCCTACAAACCTGGAACCAGTCATTAATAGACTGAGCCATTTCCTCAACAAAGGACATTTCTGACAAGTACTCTAAGCATCCCCAGCAGAGAAGCTTCTACAGCAATCCTGAAAGGGGAGGTGGAGGAAAGCTTCCCAGAACACCTAAAGTCCCCTCCAAACCTCGCTCCTTTGTAGCTTCATCCTGATGTCACCTGGCAAACTAACTATCCAGATCTGGTCCTTAAAAACTAACAACAGGACAATCGCTTAGAATTTTTTCTGACTTCCAAAGAAAAATGTAAAAAGCACAGTCCAACCACAGTGTGTTCATATTTAGATTTGAGTGACAGCTACACTTTAAACATATCTAAGCTATAAAAATGAATGTAAAAAAACCAAAACACTTCCAACAGTTATGCCTTATCATTTTCGCTTTGGTTACTACTCCTCCTATAGCATGTTGTCTTTGATTTCTGAGACAAACATAGAAAGCAAGCTCCCTCCCCAGATTCCTTCCTCAAATGTCATCAAGGCTGGATCTGGGTTAGGTAAGCCCAGAGCCACAACTCAACTAAGGTCCCTGCAGGAGTGGCCCTGGCAGGAACAAGATACCTAGGCCACCACCCACTCACTCCCAGAGTCTACATTATTCAGAAGATGGAAATGGGACCCAGAAACTCCAATACAAACTTGAGTACCTCTTAAAAATTATTTATTTGAAAAAAACATAGGGGGGTGTCCAGGGAAGGGAAGAGAAACCTCCATCTCGCATCTGTTAGTTCACTCCCTAACAATAGCCAGAGCTGGGCCAGGCAGAAGCGATGGGGTCCCTCCTGGTTTCCCTTGCGGGTGGCAAGAGCTTAAGGACTTGGACTATCTTCCACTGCTCTCCCAGGCACATCAGCAGGGAGCTGGATTATAAGGAGAGCAGCCACACTGCTTCACCACACCATAACACAGACCCTGGGATGTAGCTTAATCAATAGTCTCTGCCTGTGCAGGATGAGGGAGATGGTGATCTGGCATCCACTGTTACTCCTGAAATGACTTCAACAGCAGGGCCAGGCTGAAGTCAGAAGCCAGGCAATGTATCCAGGTCTCTCACATGGTGGGCAAAGACTCAAACACTGGAGTCGTTACCTGCTGTGACCCAGGGACACCACAACCAGAAGCAAGGTTAAGACAAACCCGGAGAGCCTCTGATATTGCATCTGAGGGTGCCCCGCAAGCCTCCACAGCTGCATCAGACATCCATCCGCTCCTTATCAGCTTCACTGCAACCTCTTCCCCAACTCTGGGTTACTTCTGAGCAAAAAGAGGGTCAGAGTTATGTAGAAATAACCTCACCAAGCAAATGTCAAGTTACATTTCACATAAAGTTTTTAACTGTTATAAACTTAATAGTTATGCAATACACGATCTACATTTGCTTTCACGGGCTCTAAAGGATAAAATCATATCCTTCAAACTGCACATGCTGGATTGCAGCAAGTCTTATGTTAGCCAATCTTCTAACCCTTAATTTATCATACCAACTCCCAATCCCTCCAAGGTTGATGTCAATTAATGCACAAAAACCGCTTCTACCAGTTCGAGGTGCAGAACAGCAGCTACACTGCCTCTCACTAGCAATGCCTGTTACTGGGGCTGACAAACACCCAGCAGTGAACACATGCCAGCGCAGACTGTTAACAGGCGCAATCCTTCCCAAGGTCTGCTCAGAGTCCTCCCTTCCATGTCTTCTGAGCAACCCCAGGATGCCGAGCGCGATGTCTGGTGTGGCGGCAGTCATATCCCATCCTAAGGATGATGCTTTCTCCAAGCTACACACGTGCTCACCTGGCTGTGTGAAACGCAGGTACGCTTGTCAGTTACCACAATTTAAAACGACCTAAAACAATGTAAAATAAAGACCTCCATGCTCTTACTCTTACTTATGCACGCTCAAAGCACGGAGAAGCCAATTCACTTCCAGCTTTTGGTAACGTCTGATTGATACACACACACACATAAATGATTATAAAGGGGAATTCGTAATGTCTGTAATAAAATCGTATTTATAAAAGCTTAGTTTCAACCACGTGTTAGCAATAAAGAAACAGAACCTATATGCCTGAAGCCATACTATCCAGTATCAGATGAAGGAAGAGACATTTCCTTCTATCTTTAAAGGCAAGAATAAGAACAAAGAGGGTACCCTGGGTCCCTGTTGATCAGTGAGTACTGATTTAGAATACAACAACCAAGCTCATGAGACAGGACATGGACACAGGAGGCTCAAGGCAGCAGCTAGAAAGCAAATTACTGAGGCCTAGTTCAGATAAGTACGTAGCAAGCTCCTCAAAATTGGAGCTGAGGAAACATCAGCAAAGACGCAATCAGAAATGACCTGGAGTTCACACTGCAGATGAAAAGCAAAGAAAACAGGGTAAACACATGGCTGCAACTCCACCAGTCCTCAAGAACCAAGCCTTAGGAACAGTGACGATGCCTAGCTCTCTGGAGTTCCAGTATGGACCATGTGCTGGTATGCCCCATGTCTGGGGACAGTTTCATCTGCGAAGGAAGCGATCTAAGGCGGCTGAGTGTAACTGGGCACCAGGATTCAGAGGTTTCCTCGCTCACTGGGGTGAGAGCCTATACCGACTTCCTGACTCGGGCAGAGAAGCTGGCCGTGTCCCTGCAGTCCAGAGCCTATGTGCAAGGAAGTGAGGTGTCACATCCCGCTCTCATAATTACCAGCATCTTGAGAGCAAGCGCAGTACAGGACAATCACAGGCACCCTCCAAGAGCTAGCCGTCAGACCAAAGTCACTACAGAAAAGGAGCCGACAGTATCATCTCTTGTTACATCTAGTATTACGGAAAATTGGCATACAAAACCAAAAACATCAAGATCCTGATTTCACAAAAAAAACCTCCCAATACTACAATGATTCAGCTCAGTACTACGAACCTACAAACAAAAATGTGATCTATGTAAGAAGCAGAGGTACAGCTTTAATCAACTGCTTCCCATCCAACCACCAAAGTTACTCTATTTCAACAACTGTCAACTCAACCTTTGTTTAGAGGATGCTGTTATTTTCCAATATACAATCACACAGACTGTATTAAAACTGTAATAAAACTGATCTCTATTCTAGGAGAACAGGGAAAGCAAAAGATGCAGGTTTTTTTTTTCCTTAAATTTAAGCAAACTACTGAGAAACTAGAAAAGCACATGATATTCCATTTCCTTCAGAACTCTGATATCCTGTAGGTCATCTCAAACAGTACCTCCAGTTGAGCAATGGATCTAACAACAGGAGAAAATTTGTCTCCATTATTTTAGTAAAACTGGCTTCATTCTTAGTGTACACTTAGGCATGAAATATATTACTCTGATTTTGGAAAAGCTTGGCCTCAATTACTGAGAGCTGGTTTATTTATTTATCCCCGCTTACCATTTTAAGGAGCATGAAGTAAGGTGCTTTAGCTGAAGGACATCAGCTATGTGCAAAACAAATGAAGCTTTTGAAAAAGTGGAGTGTTGCAATGAATACAGGATTGGGAATGCTCAATGTTTACCATGCAAAACCAACACTGTGTTCTGAGCCACAATTTCTTTCTTAAATCTGTGAAGGGTTATGCCTGCATCTGAAAACTCATGGTCGGTCAGACTGGCGCTCCTAACAGTAAAGCTGAGGCAGCAGCACGGATCTCAAACACACATCACTACGTGAGGAAGCCAGGGCATCTTCCTCAGAAAAATCAAATCACCTGTCAGCAAGACCTGGCCAGGCCAGCGGTCCTGTTGATCTGCTCCTACAGCGGCTTGCGTGTCAAACACACGACACACCCACACCCTGGTGCGTCCACCCCAGAGCATCCTCATCTCCCGCACAGCTTCTAGGGAGCCAGCGACTCACCACCTTCCCTCTCGCGCACTCGCTGGGCGTGCACGTTTTTGGCCTTGCCGTGGCCTGTGCTGTCACCGTATTTGCTCTCAGGACTGTCCGATCTCCGCAGCATCTTACTGGGTGGAGAAGGGTCTGTGGTGTCTCGCATCTTCTCATGTCTGTGCTCACCGCTACTGGGGTGGCTCTTTGAGGAGTATTTAAGTGCCTGTAAGACATCACCCCCCAAAAGAGAGAGAGGAAAAAAATGTCAACTCTTAACTTTATAACCACTGACCCCCTAGTGTGAGAGACCGCTAGGAAGGAAGAATTAATTCTTTCCAATTTCACCTTCCTGTCCTGTACCCAGGCCGCACTGTGTGTGCAACTCCCTGTAAGGCTGCAGATGCCAGCAGAGATACCACGAGCCAACGAGAGTCAGAGGAGAAATCCACTCCCCCACCTGGGCACACGGAGGCCTCAGAAACTTCCGGGAAAGCGGGCTTAAGGCCCGTTTGCGACGATCCAACAGAAGCACAACTACAAAGTCAGCATACTTCTACACTGCTTCTGCTCCACAACTCACAGCCACAGGCGTGTCTGTTCCCCCAAACCTCCCAAAGACAAAAAACTGACTTGCCGGTTCTTGGATGCAAACATTTCAGGCCTCACATGCGAGCTCTTGCAGGTGTGGACCACAGTAACATACCAAAATACCGGCCCACCTAACCCTAAACAGCACTGGTATCTCAGGCAGAGCTTAACAGAACTTACAGAATATTCCACTGCTCTGACCAAACCGTGCTATGCTCGTCTTCAAGGGTGGGCAGCCGGTTGGAGGGACAGTCGGTGAGATTTAGTGCCAAGGACGGGGGAGGGGGGGAGTGGGGGGCGCTGCTGATGTTCCAGGGGAGCTCTAGCTGTTGCCCTCCCCCTGCCAGGCACCTGTGCTGGGCTCGGGACAGGAGGCCCGCAGCCAACCCCCACCGCCTCCCCGAGCCCCGCAGCTCCTGGCGGGGGAGGCCCCCACGCCAACTTTCCCTTCCCCGCGCGCGAGCGGGCGCGGGCCTCCTCCCCGCAACCCCTGTTCCTCCACACCCAAAAGACCGGGGCAGGTCTGCCCTGGCTGCCGAGCCGATCCCTCGTCTCCCTCTTAAACACACGCCCCCTCAACTCGCCGCAGCCCCCCGGGACGCCCCCCGCGGGGCTCCGGGCGGCCGAGGGGCCTGCGGCGCCGCGCGGAGCCTGCGCTCGAGTAGTCCGCCCGTCCCTGCCCGCCTCCCTCCCGCCGCCCGCGCCCCGGCCTCGGCTGGTACCTGGTAAGGCTGCGAGTCCCCCCTCCGGTCGTGACAGCTGAAAAACACCAAGAGAGATGGCGGCGTGAGCCCCGGCCGGGCCGGGGGGAGGGGGCGGCGGGGGGCGCCCCCAGCAGCCGGGGTCCCGGGCCGCCCCTCCCGCGCCGCCCCGCCGAGCCCCCCGCGCGCTCGGGCCGCGCGCCCCCCGGGCCGCCGAGGGCCCCCCGCCGGACCACCCCCCTCGGGCCGGCCAGGCCCGCGGCCCGCGCCGCCGCCGCTCTTCCCCAGCCCGGAGCCGGAGCAGGCTTCACAACAAAAATGGCGGCTGCGGCTAGCTCCCGATCGGGAGGAACCGCCGGCCCCCACCTCCGCCCGCCCTCCCTTCCTTCCTCCCCCGGCCCCGCCGCCGCCGCCGCCGCGGCCCCAAGCGAAACGAAAACACAATTTACCCATCACTGAGTCTCTGCTGTTTCCTCGCATACATTACCATCAATGCCCGGCCTGTGAGCGTGTGCGGCGGGGAGGGGGGAGCGCGGCCGCGAGAGGCGGGCGGCGGGCGGCGGGCGGCGGGCGCGCTGGCGGCGGCCCCGGCGCAGGGCCCGGCGCGCCCTCGGCGACTCTCAGCGGCCCCCCGTCACTGGCGCCGGCGCTCCCGGGCCATCTCCGTCCCGTCGCCCGACACCACGCTCACTTCCAGCCGGGGCAGCGGCGCCCCCCACGACACGGCGGCGGCGCGGCCCGCGGGGACGGGTGGGGGGTGGGGGGGCGGTCGGAGCCACAAGACGCGTCCTTCGGCCCTGCCGACAGCGACCGCCTCCTCCGCCCCTCGCCGCCACCTCCCTCCTCCCCGCCGCCGCCTCGTCTTCCTCCTCCGCCTCCTCCTCCTCCTCCTCCTCCCGTCGCCGCCGCCGCCGCCGCCGCCGCCGGTGCCGCCGCTGCCGCTCCACCAACTACATCCGGGCAACTCGGCCGCCGCCGCCTTCGGGAAGCCTCGGCAGTTTCCGCCGCGCCCCTCCTCGGCCCACCCTCGGCCCGGCTCCCCGCCCCCCGCGCGGCTCCGGAAAGCCGCCTTCGGCAAACCTCGGCTCGCTCCGGCCTTCCTCTTTCTCCTCAGGCCTGGCTTGCCTCCCGGCGACCTGGCGGCCCTTTTCCGGCGGCCGCTTTTTTTTTTTTTTTTTTCCTTTTTTAACCCCCTTCCCTCAGTCGCTCAGGTCCGGCCTCGCTCCTCGCGCCGTCTCCGCGTTAAGGAGAGTGCCGCTCGGGGACCTGCTCGAGGCCGGTCCCGAAGGCTCCGGCCTGCGCTGGGAGGGAGCCGCCTTCGGGAGGAGACCGGTGGGGCGCGAGGGAAGCCATGGCCGGCTAAATGAGGGAGGCGGCGGCTGCGCGTGCGCCCGGCGGCGCGGCGGGAGGCGGGGAGCGCGGGGGGCGCCCCGAGAGCGGCGGGCGGGCGCCGTGGGACGTCGGGGCGCTGGCGTGCGGGGGCCTCCCGCGAGCCGCTGCGGGGCCTTGGGGCGCTGAGCCGCCTCGCCCTGGCCCGGCACGTGCGCTTCTCCCTCCCGTCCCCTTCGTTTCGTCTGTGCTTGTTCCCCGTCGTCACCTAACGCCCCGTGCAGAGCGGCTGGACGTGGATGAGGGGGCACAAGGCTGTGGCTTAGGATTGGGTATGCAGCGGGATTCCCAAATGTAGCCGACAGGGTAGGCTTTATTTACCCCAGGGTACAAGTCAGAACAAAGTCAAGTACTTTATCGGGTGCTCAGTTAAGTTCGCTAGGCCCGCTGAAGAGCTGCAGTGATGGGGGAGGAGGGGTTAAGCCCTGAACGCACCACTGGTTGGAAAGTTGTATCACTTCCACCTGCCGTTCAGAGCATTCCTGTTGTGTTAAAAACTATAGGAAGCCGGCTTAAGGCCTCCTGGAGTTGCAAGAACTAAACCCTACTAGCAGAATGCAGTTTCCATCTACTCAGAAATGGATGGAAAAGCTTAAAACCAAATACAGCCGTTTCACAGAAACCGTGAAAACAGCAAAATGCCTAGCTCTAGTCCAAGCACGGGTTGGCATTTGCCCAAAAGCGACCTGTAGACGTGTTGGCTGTGTGCTGTGCACCGGCCCTAGTCGGCTTTCGCTGCTCACCTGGCCCGGCTGTACTCCTCCTGTTTCTGCAGGTGATGGAAATTTGAACTTTCCCGTTCACAGCTGGGCTTCAAAGGATTCCCCCGCACAGGACATGGGGGGGGGGGGGGAAGTGTTTGTTTTGCTGTTTTAATTGTTCTGCTGTTTTAAATACCCCATCCCCGTGCTGAATTGCTTTTTTAAATTGGAGAGTGTACTGGTTCTCTCCCTGGATGCTGTGGACCTGGCTGAAACCGGGAGCCAAGAACTCTGTCCAGGCTTCTTGCATGGACAGCGAGGACTCCACTCCTTGGGCAGTCCCATAGCTAACTCCCAGGGTGAGGAGGCCGATGAAGGCGCTGGAAGCACGGGCCCATCCCAGCTCTGGATCCTGAGTTACAGACCGAGAAAGTTCACGTTCGTCATTGGTGCCGTGAGTCCTGTGCACCGTGTTGATAAGTCAACATTGTGTGTTAAACCCGTGAAACACTGGATCTGTTGATTAAATATGACCAGTAGGCTTGCGAGAACTTAAATGCTGCGTTTATCAGCAGTTCAAAGCCTTAGTTAAGTACTGCAAAGAACAAGAATCAACTGTTAACTGAGGAGCACGCCTGAATCTTATGCCCATTATTTTCAGCTCATTGCCTATGTTACATGAGTGCTCCTTTGTAAATATTTTCCTCTTTTCCCTATTGCCTGACTGAACCGCAGGCTTACGACCTGTGCATCTGCACCGACCAGGTGAACTTGAAAGGGGAAAATCGGACCGTCTCTGAAGGGAGCCCCTTCCTGGAGCTCCCACCCTCCGGGCTGCATTTCCCTAATCCCTCTGCCCTTCCCTTCTCGCAGCCACCTGTTTCTTGTCCGTCTTCCAACCCTGTCAGAAGCTCACATCTCCAAGAAGATGGACTAAATCAGAAATTGGTAACTGCTTCTACCTGCCGACCTTTCTGCATCTGATTACAGCGCTCTGCTCCGGTAGCCTAGGATACATCATCTAGGATGGGCCTTGCCGCTTGGGCCTTGAGTTGCGTTCGACTCCGAATCAGTTCCTGTGCTTGTGGACTTGTCCTGGCTGCCGAATCGCTTCCGTTAGCTTCTAAACGAAGCTACCCACTTTACAGAACAAGACGCTTTGGAAGTGTTAGCTCCCTCCAAATACCAGCCCATTGCTCTGTGACTGTCTCTACTTGACTGAAATACCTCCACTGGGACGATTAAAGCCACACAATCTGACCGTGCGCGCATTCCTGAGCCTGTTGAAGGGGGTCGGTGTCCCCATTTCACTTCATTTGGTGCAGCCTGGGGAGCAGCTTTCTTTATGAAGCCCTTGTCTTGCTTTGCCCGAAGTCCACATGCTTCCTTTCCCTGCTGAAGGGCCATTCATTGTTGGTCTCCTTGCTGGTTCTTCCTCATTTTCCAGCACCTAAATGCAAGAGTGCCCCGGGATGAGAATCTCACAGCTACTCTTGTTTTCTCTCCTAGGGCTATAGCATTCATGCCTGCAGCTGGATGAAGCTCGCTGCCTGAGCCAGCTCTGGAGGAGCCACTGGACTTACACGCCGTGGCAGCCGATCCTGCCAGGTTTGCTTCCATGGTACCTCTACTCTCTGACCTCTATGCACTTCCGTATTCATCTGATTCATTTCCCACCCAAGCAGCCCATCATTGGCAAAGGCCTCCACTTCTGCCCTACCTGCCAGTGGCTTCTCCCCTGACACCATGGGCACACTGATCACTTTCAAAGGCTAACGATACAGGTCTCACTATTGGCACTTTGGCACACAGGTAAAGCTGCTGCCTGCAATACTAGCATCCCATCCTGTCCCAGCTGCTGTCCCATTTCCAGTCCTGCTCCTTGCTGGCATGGGAAAAGGTGTGCAACATGGCCTAAGGCTTAAACCCCAGCACTTACATGGGAGGCCCAGCTAACACTCCTGGTTCTGGGCTTCAGCCTGTCCCAGCCCTGGTTCTTACAGCCATTTGAAGAGTAAGCCAGTGGATGGAAGATGTCTTTTCTCTTTAATTCCCTTCTCTTCAACTCTACCTTTAAAAAAATAAAGATGAGACCAGGGCAGTGACATAGAATGCAATCTTCCACCTGCAGGGCTGGCATCCCATACGGATGCCAGTTCATGTTCCAATTGCTCCACTTCCCATCCAGCTCCCTGCTTATGACCTGGGAAAATAGCAGAGGATGGCTCAGGACCTTAGGATCCTGTACCCCTGAGGAATATCCAAAAGAAGCTCCTGGCTCCTGGTTTCGGATTGGCTCAGCTCCAGCCCTTGTGGCTAATTGCGAAGTGAACCAGCAGATGGAAGAGTTTGTTCTTTGTTTCCTTCTCTCTGTGATTCTGTCTTCCAGGTAAGTAATTTTTAAAAATAAAGGGGAATCTTTTTTAAAGATTTATTTAATTTATAAATCTGGAAAGGCAGATATACAAAGAGGAGGAGAGATAGGAAAGGTTTTCCTTCTGCTGGTTCACTCCCTAAGTGGCCACAGCGGCTAGAGCTAGGCTGATCCAAAGCCAGGAGCCAGGAACTTCTTCTGAGTCTCCTGCTTGGGTATAGGGTCCCAAGGCTTTGGGCTGTCCTCTACTGCCTCCCAGGCCGCAGGCAGGAAGCTGGAAGAGAAGTGGACCAGCCAGGACATGACCTGGCAGCCATATGTGATCGTGGTGGATCCAAGGCGAGGATTTAGCCACTCGGCTATTGCGCCAGGCCTGGGAAAAATTTTTAATGTGATCCTGTTGATGGGGAAGATGGAGAGGGAAAGAATCTCACTTCTCATTGTTAGTAAATTTTACATATTTTGCTGCAGATTTTAAAGGGTCACAAAATAAGGATACATTCTCAGAAATTTCCGCATACTTTTTGTTTCTTTTTTCTTCTGCCCTCACCTTCCTCTCAAATGCAGTATAATGTATTGACTAAAAGCATGGGTTTTAGAATCCAAGTTAAGCTCTGGATATGTTCTGATTTACTAGCCATTTGACCTTGGGCAATGTTTGAACTTGACAGGATATAGTAGTGTCGGTGAAAAGTAAGTGAAATTGCGTAAGTAGCAGTGTATGGAAAATGCACGCTCCATTACTGTTAGCTATTATCCATCCATTAAGTAAAAACTTATTAGAAAAACAGCGTGTTTGAGCTGCTGTGTGCCAGGTCTTGGGAATACAGTGATACACTAAATTACTCGGTCTTCCGCTTCACTTACAGACTTTATGTGTTAACTGTCGGTGTTCAAGGAGGAAGAGTAAGAAGCAGCAGAATTTCCCATTTAGAAAAGGGGACCAAGAAGCCTCCAGGCCAGCAACCATGCTGTCCATATGTGGCGAGCCCCTGTAGGCAGGGATAGCAACAGCTGCCTTAAGTATTGTTGTGCTGGCAGCAGTGATAACTATTAGGTTTACCAAACTGGTCATTTTTAAAGCTTCTTCCACTGTTCAGAGCCACCCCGTGTCAACTGTTTGTGTCGGCCTGGCAAAACATTTTGACCTGAATGAGCTCCGCTGTGTACTCTGTCAGTACCTGTAAGCAGGTGCATGCTGCTCTTCGTGATAAAATAGTCAGTTCAACGGATCCCATTGCAGTCTCAGGATCGTCAAAGGCAAATGGGCCCTTGGCACAACCAGACAATTTTCAACACGTTTTTCAAGTTCTTTTCTCCCTAAGCCTGTCCCCCTCACTTTGTGACCTTCCCTTTACTTTCAGGAATGTAACTGCCTTCTTAAACGGAAGTCACCAAATGGAAATGCAATGCTGCTTTTATTTGTTATCGCTGTTCAAGATTTATTCATTTGAAAAGAGTGAAAAAGAGAGGAGAGGAGACAGTTCTTCCCTGTATTTGGTCTGAGACAGTCGTTGGCAGGCCAAGCTGAAGCCAGGCACGTGGGATCCCATCCATGGGGGGTCACAGGGATCCAAGCCCTTGGCCCATCTTACACTGCTGCTTTCCCAGGTGCACTAACAGGGGCCTGGATCACAAGTGTAGCTGCCAGGACTTGCCCCAGAGCCCTGGTATGCGATGTCCATTGCACTTCAGTGCAGTCCCTCTCTTCCTGCTTTAACGCATGCGGATTACCTATACTCACTCGCTTGTTTACTTAGCCAGTATTTATGGAGTTCCCACTGTGTGTTGGGACTACATGGGTGAACAATACAAGCAGGACTCTGCCCTCTGGGAGCTTATATTCCCGTAGGAAAGGTTAGTCATAAAATCATTGACCATTATCTAGAAAGGAATGAGGGCTACAGACAAGAACTGGGTCAAAGGAAACGCTGGGTCGAAGGATGTTATGTTCAAGTGGAGTGGTCACTGGATAGGTGAGATCAGAGCTAAAACGTGAGGGTGAAGAGGCGGCAAGCTGCATGGGGGTAGGAGAGCGCCTAGCTGAGGGGCTGTGGCAGAAGTGCACTTCCTGTCTCCAGCCCTGTGGTTGAAAGAATGAGCTCAGACAGGTTAGAGGGGTGGGAGACTCCGTTCTGAAGGATCTTGCACCAGCGGGAGAACATTTTCCTGCCAGAGGCCGTTCAGATATTTAGCATATCATTTGTGGGACACATGGGAGTTTCAAAAGTTTGCCTTCTATAGATTTACTGAATTTCGGGTGTCATCTGTGGTTGCCTTGGCAGAGCCAGACCCAAAGATGTCACAGGTCTTCTGTGGGCCACCAGCCCTGTAGACCCAGCTTCAGAGAGATGGGCAGCATGGGAGTGCTGTGAGTAGAGAAGTGGTACTGACCACTGTGCTGAAAACTGCTGTGGGGTAAGGAAGGAAATAAGCCAGCTCAGAAACTGCTGCATTGTCCTGAGGTCACTATTTCAGTGCAGGAGTTAGGATCACTAGCTTGGTCCACCCATACTTGCCTGTACCCCTTCCAATGCCTTCCGGGACCTCTTCTTCCCTTCTTCCTGTATTCAAGCTCCACTTTCCTTTGGCTTTTCAGCATGTCTGAATCCTGTGTTTATATTTGTTTTAAAGATTTATTTCAAAAGCAGAGTTAGAGGGACAAGGAGGGGAAGCTAAAGTAAGAGATCTCTCGCTGCATAGCTGTCATGACCAGGCTAGGCCAGAGTGAGGAGCCTCTTCCGAATCTCCCACATGATATAGGGATCTAAATACTCGCGCCATCTTTCACTGCTTTCCCACATGCATCTTTGGGGACCTGGATCCCTAATGGAACAAGTGGGACTTAAAGCAACCCATATCAGATGTTGGTGATGCAGCCGATGGGTTAACGTGCTATGCCACAGTGCTGGACCCTGAATCTTGGTTTAAAAATCCTTCTTTGACACCTACTCCCTTATGCAATGACGGCTCTGTCACCTTCTTTATTTCTACCAAACCTCTACAGAGACTTACCCATGGCACCGCACTGGTTTAATTCTCCAGGTAACTACAATCTGACATGTATCCTATAACATTAGCAAACCAAATTTTCCCACGGCAATGAATGGTTCTTCAGGAGTCAGGGCTGAGTCTTCAGGACACATTTAGCAATGTGTAGTGGCAGTTTTGGTTATCGCTTGGCGTATTTTCAGTAACAGTGAAGATGAAAGATTAGTGCTTGCTTAGTGGAGAACAACATACAACAACATACAACAACAACGCCGCCCAGGACAGGCCTGCATACCTGTTGCAAATAGCAGTGTTACTGCCTCAAGAAATAGTCGTAAAGTCACACATGACTTCTTTGTACCCAGGGTCAATAGACATTTATCATTCTGTGTTTTCACTTGAATTCAACATATTCTTTAAATTTATGTATTTAGTTTGAGAGGCAAGAGATACAGAAAGAAAGGAAAAAAAAAAAAAAAAAACCCAGGCAGGAATAAGAGAGAAATTGCTCATCTGCAGGTTCAAGTCCCGAATGTCCACAGCAAGCAAGGGATGGACCAAGTTTAAAGCCCAGGACTAGAAACTCAATTTTTGTGTTTGTTTCTTGAAGATTTATTTATTTTTATTGCAAGGCAGATTTACAGAAAGAAGAAGAAAAAGAAAAAAAGTTCTTCTGCCCATCCATCCTGAGCTTAGCTTATCAGATCTGAAGCCAGGAGCCAGGAGTTCCCCTCCTACACCCCGACCCCCAGTCTCCCACACTGGTGCAAGGTCCCAAGGCCTTTGGCCATTCTCCGTTGCCTTCCCAGGCCACAGGCAAGGAGCTGGATGGAAGGTATAGCAGCCAGGATATGAGCCATCGCCCGTGTGGGATCCTGGCACATGCCTGGGTGCCAAGGACCCAGTTAACTTGAGGCATCACTCACTGCCTCTCAGGATGTGCATTAGGCAGAAAGTGGATTAAGAGTAGGGACAGGACTTGAGCCCAAAGACCACACAGTGGGATCCAGGCATCTTGCACAACATCTTAACCACAACACCAACACACTTCAGAACACAGAAGGCTTGGCACTGACCTCCGCTCTCTGCATTGCCCTTCTGACTGTAACACACACCTGATTTTCCTCTGACCTCTGTGACCTCTGACTGTACCCAGTCCTCCTCCATTCTCTTTTATTCCACCACCGTATGGTGAAGTTTTCTGACAAGTAGTCCCATGGAAGTAATGTCAGAACAAAGGAAGGATCCATGGGCCCATCCTTCCTCAGAACAGCGAATAATTGGCAAGGAACAATTTGTCAGAGTCAGCTCATTGTGAACTCTGGAAGCTTGTCAGAGCTTGGCAGTTTAACTCACTACGCACACATTGGAGACAAGGGTAGTGGAGTCTCAGAGAGGACTTTGCAACCTTAAAACTTGTCTGTCCCAAGTCCAGCAGCAGCTTTGAGAATCACAGCTTTCTTTTCTAAAGTGGATTCTTCTTGTCAGAAGAAACAGATGGAACTTATTCTCAAAGAATTGTGATTTTTTTTTTTCCGCTGTCTGGTGGCTCACTGAAGGACAGGTGACGGAAGGGCCTTTATTTTCTGTGGCTCGTGACTCTCAAGAAACAGGGATTATAAAGGTGGCATTTGTAGAAAACACTTCACTGCACCTTTATTAGGCACTGTCTGGGACAAAGACAGTGGAACGAACAGTGAACGTATCAGAAAACCTGGGGGAAAGCTAGGCAGTGAGACACTTTGAGGGAATAGAGCTTTAAAAGTGTCCACATGTTCCTGGGAATCTGAAAGAATACATATGCACCTCAGGCAGGTCAAAGGCTTACCAAGAAGCCTAAACTCTCACCTTTGGCCAGCGTTTAAGCTCTACTCAAATAGGAAGAGAAAGCTAAGGAGCGTTTTTAAGTTGCCCAACTGAGTGGTAATTGTGTGCTCTAGCACCTACCCTTTGGCCAAAGATTGGGAATTTTTTTCTTTTTTTTTTTGATCATCTTCCTTTTTTGTCCTCCTCTGTATCCCTGTTTTTCTGAGTTTACAAAAGCTCTGTTGCATCACTAGCTAACAATTAAGCTGACAGAACAGGCTTCACTGGTCACACAGCACAAGACAGACGGATGTTTACAAAGTTCACTGAAGCCACTAAGATCACAGTGAACCCCACAGGGGGAAGAGTCTCAAACTGCCAGAGCTGCCTGTTCAAAGTAGTCAGAGTGTCCAATCCTTGACAACAAATTAGGAAGGAAGAAAAAGAAAGAAAGAAAATGTTGCCCATACATGGAATAAACGTTAAACTATCCCTGAAAACCAGACATTGGAAATGCTAGACAAAGGCTTTTCATCAATTCCTTTCCAAATGCTAGAAAACCTTAAGGTTTTCTTTTTTTTTTTTTTTAAAGATTTATTTTTATTATTTTGTTATTGGAAAGGCGGATATACAGAGAGGAGAGACAGAGAGGAAGATCTTCTGTCCGATGATTCACTCCCCAAGTGAGTGCAACGGCCGATACTATGCCGATCTGAAGCCAGGAGCCTCTTCCGGGTCTTCCGTGCAGGTGCAGGGTCCCAAAGCTTTGGGCCGTCCTCGACTGCTTTCCGAGGCCACAGGCAGGGAGCTGGAAGGGAAGCGAGGCTGCCGGGATAGAACCGGCGCTCATATGGGATCCCGGGCGTGCAAGGCGAGGACCTTAACCACTGAGCCACCGCACCGGGCCCACCTTAAGGTTTTCATGAGCAAAAGACTAAAGGAAGTCAGGAGGAAAAAAAAATATATATATATATGTGTGTTTTTTTAAGAGTTATTTGTTTTTATTTGAGAGGCAGAGTTACAGAGAGGAAAGACAGATCGTGCATCTGCTGGTTCTCTCTCCAGATGGCCGCAACAGCTATGGCTGAGCTGATCAGAAGCCAGGAGCCAAGATCGGGCCAGGCCAAAGCAAGAGGGAGCCAAGAACTCCCCTCTGGTCTCACATGTGGGTGGCAGGCAGCCCAGCACGGAGCCATCCCCCACTGCCTTCCCTGGCACGTGCTCAGGACATGAAGCAGCTGGATTCCAGGACTTACAACTGGTATTGCCGTGTCAGCCCAACATCTCGAGCAGCAGTTTAACTCGCTGTGCCAAAACTCTGTTCCCACCCCCAAGAATAGTCCAGTGGCCAGCAAGCATGAGCAGAGAGGCTCACTGTCAGTACTCACTGGAGAAATGCAAGTTGAGACAGTGGCAAGGTCCACTTCACACTGACCGAGTAATGGTAATATGGGATACTACATGCCTCATAAATTGCTAGAGAGAAAGTAAGAAGATGAAGTCAATGTGCAGACCATTTTGGAAGTTCCTCAGAGTTTTATAGAGAATAGACAGT